ATTACGTTCTCTCCTCCTCTCATGCTCCATCAAGTTTAAGTACACTTTTATCTCAAGCCCAATCACACACTGACAAATACAATTAACACTGTACACTTCTTCAAAAAAGCAATCCACTTGGAATTGACTGAATCTCGATTGACATTGCAGTCTGCGCATATCTAATGTACTGTATACATTACTGTTCAGTTTTGGTTTGAATGTTTTATTCATTATATTTTTTGTTATTATTTGCATAACTTATATCAGCTGGAGATTGCTGTTCTTAATTTCATGAAATGTAGACCAACATTTACTGTAGGCCCATTCTTTTGTTTCTTAAAGACCAAGATAGCCATATCCCCTGCCCCCTTTATAGTTGACCTTGGCCAGTCCCAGGTACACATGATGCTCTTAGTGGGACTTCCTAATTAAAATGAAAGATGTCTTAACCAACACCCCTATTCTAAAATGGATTATTTCTTTGTTAATGGCATTTCTTCCTACTAGCATTTTTCCTAACTTGAATTATTTCTGATTATTGAACAAAATGTTTGGGATATTAAATTAGGCCTTAAGCCTAGTTACATTACTTACTGTACAACTAACGTATTATTTTATTATTCTGTTTATAATTACCCTTCCTCCCCCAAAGGAGGAATAGGGTATTGCAATGAGCTCCATCTGTCTTTCTCTCTGCCTGTGATGTGTGTGCACTTCCGGGAGCATAACTCAACTGGACCAATTAACCTCAAATTTTACACATTGACAATATTACATGTATCTCCGTCCTCGAATTTGGTGATCATCAGAAGTAAGATGTAGATTTTGGAATGTTATTTGTATATAGTTTTCAGTCACAACTGACTGAGCCAACTCGAGCGTATCATTTGACCGAGTCATTAAGCTAGGCCAGGCTGACTCGAGCAGATCTACAGTGGACCAACTCAAACGGACAAACCATGTGTCAAATTCTGGCCAGCGGACTGGAAGCAGCCCGGAAGGTGTGTAAGCCAGACTGATGGGCTTGCAATTCGAGGCCTATGCTAGGCCACATTTGGCGGATGGATTGGAGAAGTAAGATGCAGATTTTAGTTTTTAATATTTCCCCGCCATATATCTTACAATCTGCTTTTTTTTTATAAATAAATAAAATATGAAACAAAAAGTTCTCTATAGATGCACAAATAATATATAACATAATAATAATAAAAAAAGAGAGAGATTTGAACCCCATATGTTGAATTAACTTTACATTTAACATGTGCACTTAACTACATTTCACCTATGTACAGTATAGCTGGTAATATTACACCCCTATAACACAACAACAACCAGCAGATTGAGCGCATCGACTACACAAAGATATGGTGCAACAGGGGAGGGTTTGTAAGCTCAGATTATCTTGTTTACTACATGCTATGAGACACATACTCATCAAATTTATTATCGGTTAAATATTAATAATATTTTTTTGGAAAACACTTTTTTAACAGTGGCATGCATCACATCAGTAGTGCATCCACAGTAACTATAAAAATCAAAATCGTTAAACTATAATAATTAAACAGCATAAAAAAGACAGTATGATTAGGAAGAATTGAGAATAATCTCTCTGTTCAAACTAAATACTGTACATATACAGTACAGTAAAAACACAATTTGTAAAAACTGGGTAGCCATTTCAGGGACATGAATAAACATTAACTAAAGGAATTATAAAAGGAAAATAAAAAGGCAAATAACACTAGGAAGTACTTAATAAAATGAGCTGCACCTGAATAGTTTATCTACATAAAAATATACCACATAATTCATGATAAGCTGCAGGAGTATAAGTGTGTACATTATTTCATGCAGCAAACTAACCGGAATTTCCCACATAGGCATCAACTTTCCCCCATACGCATCATTCCAATGACTGGGTTAAAAATGTGGAAAAGCTACATACTAAATAATATTAAATAAATAATATTAAATAAATAAATAATATTATAAATTTAGTGATAATAATAATGTAATTGATGATGCTAATATTTAGAGTAAATTAGTTACATCAGTCTACAGGGTGAGACTTAATTTTTAACCTAAATGCCCATGCCATTTTTAAATATAATTTACAGAATTCATCAAATATTGTGTGTGGTATATTACCAGGGAGGTTATACCTCCTTTTCATTACAGTCCCCACCTACATAAGGAATACTGTAAACCTCTGCTTCTCAACCTTTTTTAGGTGGCGACCCACTTTCAGAATTCACAATCTGTGGCAACCCATGCCTGATCCGGTGATTTGAAAAAGAGGGGGTACCGGGAAGGACTTTCACAGACTAGGTGTTAATACCACCTCAGCCCCACCATGGTTGGGGCTGAGATTAGAAAATATATGATTACGGCACCTCTAGATATAAATACATTTATACATCAGTATTTATGTGAATGTATTTGTTTTTAAATAATGTGAATAAATGTGGCTTTGCCAGAAAAGAAAAACAAACGAGAGTTGATTCTACGCTTTGGATTGACCATAATTTCTAGCTTTTGTTTTCGTATCTTTTGAATTAAGTCCTTCGTAGGACTGGCCGCTATGCAGTATTATTTTCCACTATGTTTCGAGATGCGCTTTATATATTTTTTTTTTTTTTTTTTTTTTTTGAATCAGAAGCAATCTTGCAACCCTCACAAATGTCTTTGCGACCCAAAAGTTGGTCATGACCCATACTTTGAGAACCAGGGCTGTAAAGCAACATCTTTGTTTGGCCAAAACAGATTCTGTAACTCTGAAAGTTTTGAGTCATGAAGCTGTCTAGGCAAGTGTTTCTGTTAACAATTCAGACCTCTTGAAGTTTATTGCAAATAAACAGTAAATGACGCATATCTTCAATGCCACCACCACATAGTAAACATTCACCAATATTATTCTCGTAGCATTTGCTTATTCTATAGACAAGCTGAAGTGTGTTTGAGCGGGCCTGAGTTTTAGTTGTGCACCAAAGAAATCTGTTTCAACTAACAGATATTTTTAAAATTTAGACACTTTTTTACAGAACTTCATCAGATAATGATGATTTTTAACAAGTTATACCATCATTATATTTTTGACGATTAATACATTTAAATGACAAAGCATGTTGAATGACATGGGATATCAATTGAGAACACATGTTCAAATCCTAGCGAATATTGAGAGTGCTTTTGATAGAGCTAGTGATCTTCATCTTAGGTTAACATCATTATTACGTATGACAAACAACGCACTTAATAACAGTTTAGGCCATTGGTGATCACATTAACAAGTTTGTCAAAAGATTTCATTTTCCTTTCATTATGTATATTGATTTAGCCATTTATATTTGTAAGTTTTCTAATTTTTTATGATCACTTTGACTATATGCAGATACTGCACACGCAAAATTTATGGACGGAAGCGCAATTGTATTCCACAAAATATCCCCAAAATAAACTCTATTAGAATTATTTTGACTAATTAATAATGGATATATGTAACCAATTAATCTATTACCTTTCATTATAACCTCATTAACATGAACATTTTCGGAAAAGCTCCTAAATATGTTAACATTTAGGTACATAGCTATCAACTTCAGTAGTGCTCACATAAAGACCATGTTTGTTTTTGTTTGTTCGTTTGCCAACCACAACTACATTTAACTTACTACAATTGTAGTTAAGATTGCATTTTTTAGAAAACTGACTCGTTATATTAAGCATGTTTTGTAAATTAATTTCATCAACATCATCAGCCAAAGAGGCAGCTAATATTCGTGCCTAAAGTATAACAGCCTACTGTACCCCTCCATTACAGTACAGTAACCACAACAGTACTACTGTTTACTTTATACTACTCACAGTAAATTTGTTTTAAACATTATTGATGATAAGATCCCGAGTTGGTGATCCATGGAGCTTGTGCAAAGAGTGATTATTGATTGCTTTTGAGAAGAATTTGTTTTATGATAATCAAAAGTTAAAGATTGATAAATTTCCATACTCTTTCATTTACTAAGTTAAACACAGTGCTTGGTAATGTTATTTTGGATCAAAAGTCAGTGATAGGGTTTGTCTGAACTTTGTTGTATTGTTGCCTTTCTGGCTCATAGGCCCTATCTTTTAAACAGTACTGGCTACTGTATGCACCAATCCATAGTGAATATTCTTCCTCAGCAGACGCCATACAGTAGCTGGGGACTTCCAGTGTGACCCATATTTTCATGCATTGTCTGCTGAGAACGTAAATATTGAAATTGTATGTACTGTACATATGTGTGTTTGAAGTCATAATCTATTATTAAAGGAGTGTGACCACCCTTTTTTCCACTTTTTCCCCAGGTTTTAAATATTCAAATATCTGTATCTCATTAAACCTCTTTTTGAGTTTTTCATCAAATATACCTTTTGTGTCTTGGAAAAATCAATTCTGCAACATATTAAAAAAAAAAATGTTTTCTCCGGAGCCTTGCTTTAAATTAAATCTTGTCACAACTTGACAGTACATGGTATGTGCGGAAGGGGCACTGACGCATATACCCCCATAGTGTTCTTTGTCAGTATCTATTCAGATTCGGATTCAGACCCTGTAAAGGTCCCAGCAATGTCACCCTTTTGAGAACTCCCAATTGGATTTGTCTGTTTCAGCATCTGAGTTCGGATTTATCAAACTAGAAGTCAGCTGAAATTCGTCTTAGGTCCATTTTTGTGCTTAAGTCAGATTCATCAATATTGCTTTAGCTTTAAAAATGCTTAAAATTAAAAAGACATTTTTAAGCTAAGATTTTGCTAAGATGGTTTAATAAATCAGCTATGGATACAGTATTTGCTTTGGGACATCTTAACTGTTTTTGACTTACGACACTTGCTAAGCTGAGATTGATAAACCCCAGACCTGGAATCCCAAATCCATTTTAGAGTAAATTTGTTTACTAGCATTGTCATACGATGTACTTAATCTTAATGTACAGCCTGTCATTAATTATCTTTTTCCTTTTCAATTTTTTTGATAGTAATGGGGAATCTACTCAAAATTCTGGCTGGTAAAGAGGAGGACGCCAATCGTACCGACTTCTTCCTAGACTTTGAAAGTAAGTTCTATGGCATATGTTTCATATCATGTAAAAAAAGCCTCATCATCATCTCTGTCAACTGATCATTCTCATGATCATCAACTACATTACATTGTCGTCATTGTCAAAATTAAACATTTTACTCTCTTGTTTCTCACTTTTGGTAGCACATGTTGCTACGATCACAGCATGTACTTGAGCCCTGGTGATATGGCAACAACTGTAACATTACAGTGTGGCTACAGCCTAGCAATCCTGGGGATGACATACATGGATTATGTGAAAAGTTTGATTGAATTCACAATCAATATTGACTATGATGATTTGGTTTATTTCTGATAGTCATTTGATATAGAACACAATAATGTGTCATTGAAATGTAGAAAATAATTTAATATCTGTTTCTTTATTCATCAAGTCGGAATGCACCTGAATCCCGGTGCTACATGTACATGATTAAAACTACTATAATATTAAAATTGTATTCCGATATTAGTTTTTACATTTGAAAGTACAGTATATTTACTATTTATTAATAGATGCCACACCAACAGAAGAGGAGCAAGCTGTATGGGATGAAGTAAAAACCCAGATCGATAAATTTCCAGAAATCCTTGATGACCTTCGGAATTATCAAGGAGCTGGAGATGAAATTCGAGAAGTAAGCTGGTTTGAATGTTGTATTTTCTTTAGTGTAAATTGTATTTTAATATATATTGTAATTGTAAATAGTTAAGGATGTACATATCTCATACTAAATGTATTTTAACTCTACAGGCTATTTCAAATCCAAGGAACGAGGAGCTTCAAGAAATTGCTTGGCGTGCGGTGTGCCCTCTTGTAACAAAATTGAAAACGTATTATGATTATTCATGCAAATTAGGTAAGAAGCCACAGAGTTTAGGAAATATTCAGTACTTGCATTATTGTATTTAGTTCTTTTCACATAGTATTGATATTCTTTGTTTGCTCCCGGTCATTTTCATTCCTTTGTAATGTTGTTAATTTATCAAAATAATAATAGTTATATTTTTAGTGGAGTTGAATAGCTTAGCGGTTAAGATGCATGCCTTCTAATCCCAAAGTCCTGGGTTCAATTCCTGTCACGATCAAAAACAAATCCACTCCCTAAGCCTGATAAAGAGACTTTTCTGATAAGAGCATCACTTTTGTATTTCAATGATGAAGATGGTGATTGTGATGGATACAATAATCATTATGATAATCTTGGATACAGTGGTGTATCTAGAAATCTTGAAATGGGGGAACTGAAGGGGTGCGAAGGTGCAGTGGTTTTGGGTGGGGGGGTATCTCGATGATTAAGTAAGAGGCACCAACTCTCAAGATAAGGTAAATCATATGAGGTGATTTTTATCTGCTTGAGCATGATTTTTTTACTTCAAGCATTTTTAATGTGGGGTGAGGGGCACTGATTAAGTGGCAGTGGTGGGGGGGGGGAACTCGATGATTAAGTGAGAGACACCAACTCTCAAAATAAGTTGAATCATGGGTGATTTTCATCTGCTTGAGCATGATTTTTTTACTTCAAACATTTTTAATGGGAGGGGGGACACATTAACATTTTTGCGTGAAAGACGAACGCCCAACGAATGAGAAACGAATGCTCATCGTACAACTAGCATCCATTTAACGAAGGACAGCGCATTCGCAGCGTTCGCCCAACGAATGTTCAGCGTACCCAACGGATGCCCAGCGAATGCCACACGTATGTTTAACGTATTGACGCCTTGTAAACGTTGATGTAGGTCGGTATACGCTGAGTGTTCGCTGGCCATTCGTTACTCATTAGTTAGACAAACGCTATGAATACATTATGCATTTGCTATGGCAACGTTTCAGATGGGTTTGAACGTGTTTGGACGAACAACGGACGAACAGAAAACGTAAACCAACGTGCACCCAACGTGCGAAACGTTCAAACAACGAATGCTCACCGTATACTAGTGTATGTAGCAGAACGTTGTCATACATTCAAAATTTTGAACATGTCCAAAAATTAAAATCGACCTCAGCATACCCCAACGAACAGCTAATGAATACAACGTATGCCAAACGTATTACGAACGTGTCACAAACGAATGTCAACTTACGCGAACGTAAACCAATATTTTGATAAATTCTGATAACATTTGACAAGTATTTTGTTGTTTAATCATTTAACGTTTGTCTTTATTCAGAGCATGTTGTAGAGCAACTTTTAAGTGTATTGTGTTCAGATGGAATGTCACCAACTCAACATCTTGAAACACAACAAGCACTCGCTAAGCAGTTTGCAGAGATTCTTCACTATACACTTACATTCGATGATTTAAAGGTAAATATACCAAGGATTAAAACCTTGTTTACTTGAAGAAAATTTCTCAGTTCACTGCTACTTACATGTGCACAAAAAACTGCCTGTCACCCACACGTATAGAGCTGGAAAAAAAATCTGAGCTGCTTGATAAAAAATTTATAAAAAAAAGAAGCCATATATAATTTTTATGCAGGCTCAGTTTGGCGCCCTGTTTAGTGTTCCGCACCACTCCAGTTACACCACCATAGTTTACTGCTATTGATGTAATACACTTGCAGCTGCCTGCAGTGTCAGTGGCGTAACTAGGTTGTGAGGGGCCCTGGTTCAAGAGTACAGTCTGGGCCCTTGACGCATGCAAATTGACTGACCATGTCAGCAATTATATTGTATATTAGTTTTATATATGTATGACTGTGATCATATAAAACACTTATTCGATAAACATGGCAGAAAAACACATTTGAAAATTTAAAACAGATTATTTTTATCAGTTAAAAACAAATATTAACATGATCCCAAACTTTAATGAAATAAATACACTTATATTGAAAACAAAACTCTAAACAATATTCATCCAACTCCTGATTGGGAAAATTTTAGTAATATACAATAGAAACAGAAATTTCAAACTCAATTAAAGAAGACAAAACAGAATGAAAACCTCCAAATTGTAGCCTATTCACATACTGAAGTTTACGGGACTTGCATCCGCCAATATTGAAAAGAATCTGGCATGTTTATCTGAAAATAGTAATAATAATGTTAGTCTTGTACCGTAGAGCACTTAATACAAAACAATGCTTCTAAGTGCTTTACTCAAAATGAACTATAGAAATGGGATGAAACCATAAAATATCCTAATAACTAGAATAAAGAATAAACGCAGAGGAACCATTTTCACCGCTCCTTTCTCCAGCACTTTGAAACTCCCATAATTGAGAGCTTGAGTAACCTTGATGTACATAATTTCGATACCATTACTAGGCTACTAACATCACGCTAACATCAGGCGCGAATGCAAACATTCGACATGGTGAAGGTCAGAGTGACAGATAAAATATAAAAAGTTTAAAGTGATTGGAGTGCCTAGTGGTCTAGCGGATTCCAACTATTTCTGTCAGATATGCCATTGTATCTTAACCAAAGACAAAAATATAGACAAAATAAATGCAATACTTTCTTGCATTGTGTATTAATTAACTCTGTTTTGTTATTTTGATTTGTCACAGGGTATGGTTTCAAAAATTAATCACAGGGAGGATATATACATTTGCATTGATTCTTATAACCCTATTGAAAGGCATATATAATTTTATTATAATTTGGTATTTTAAAATCACTCTAAAGCTAAAACCAATTATTTTGATTATTAATTATTAATTAATTAATTATCATTTCATTATTTTAATGAATGCTGTGAAAAAAAAGGTCTTCATTGGAGTGGGTAGACATTGTAGACCTGGAATTTAAAACATAAACAAACACACTTTTCATAAAAAGTCAAAAATGACCACCAAACACTGAGAAAAAAATGAAATAAGGATTTGGAAGAAGAGCAACAGTATTTATGGTATGGGATTTTAAATCAAGCAGCACTGGAAGTGGAAAAAGAAATAAACTGAGGAATTGAGAAGATATATAAATGTAATATAAGCGTATGAGTAAAATGTAAAGTTTCCAGGCATGTATAGCTAGGTGGTACAATGCAACCAAATTTGATAAGGTCCACATTTCCATGACAGTCGAGAATGTACTGAATATACATTTATAATTTTCTGTGATTTATACAGTAAAATAAAATTTATCTATTCAGTCTGTCGTAATTCGGGAAAACGCAATTTTTCCATTTATCCATTTTTGAGATTTTGACTTAGGCTCTCTGTGGATGTAATCTATCATGGGAAGTGATACTGTATATACTCCAAATAATTTTTAGACATGAGAGAAACGCATTTTTATCCATCCACCAAAACATTATATCCACTTGGCAATCAACCAATCACAGAAGAAAATTTTGCATATTTAATTACTTTCCCAGCCAGTGGAGGCAAAATACTAGTATGTTTGACTTGGCCATAGTACATTTATTGAAATAAAAGTATTATCTCTTTCCTTAAAGAATAAGTTACAACTTAAATATAAGTTGTAGTCATAAGATACATTTCTAGACTACTATTATTAACTAAGATTATTAGGTTATAAAGCTTTCCGTGTGGTGCATGCATAAAACATACTTTCTTGTAAATTGGATATAACATAATAATAATAATAATAATAGTGTAGTTTTATATAGCGCACATATCCATCTAATGTAAGATGCTCAGGGCGCTTGATATGTGGACTAGGCACTCGATCAATGACTTTCTTCGCCCCTAAGGTCCCTTTGTGTCTGTGCTACCCGGTAGCCCGGTACCAGCAACTTTCGTTGTCCACCACAGAGACTGTCTGTTCCAGTACACCGGGGTATCCCCCTACTCGTCTCGAAGGATGTACAGGGTTCTTTATAGTGCACACGAGCCATTGTATACACTGGGCCTACGGTTTATAGTCCTTATCCGAGAAGGCTTGTTCTACCACAAGAACCATAGGCAAGCGTGCCGTTCGAACCTGCGCCGATATTATGGCTATAGCTAGTGGCGCCCCTGCTAACCGCTCGGCCATTCAACTCATGTGTAAATGATATTGATAAACCATCAGGATTCTCAGTACTGCATTATTCTGAACATATAAAGTGTTTAAAATATGGACTTCCTTATGTTGTGGTCATATTATTAGAGTGTAATATTCATACATCGGTGGGAATTCCTAAAATTTGGATGAATGAGATTAATATTCAATCAAAATTCTTCCTTATGGTTTACAAATGAGGAAACATAAATATATGTGGGTCTGAGGTGTAAAGCTACATGACAAAGTGTTCTGTTTAGAAGTTAAAGACTGGACTATTAGAAAGTACAGTAATATCATTAACAACCATTTAACAAACAACATAAAACATCAATATTTTAGGTTAAGCTTTCCGCGTAGGTGCATGCATATAACTTAATTTTTTGTATATACACTGTATGAGATTTTCATGACAGAGAATGTAATGATCATACCCAGGGAGCAGTTAACTATAGACATTGACACTGTTGTCCGACTGTGTGCATTGAAAATGTGACAACGATATTAATAGCGCCAGACTTCCAACCGTAACTCAAGCTATGGGCCTCAGTTGACACTTCACATCAAAGGGCCTGTAAATTAATCTTACACAGGAGCCTGTCATCACCTAGCTACGGTGCCTGCTATAGTTACGCCACTGTGCAGCGTAGTCTACACACGGTGGAAGACAACCTCACTTCCTGCCACATATTTATACATTTCAAACTCAACTGTGCAAGACAAACACATTTGGAGAACGAGCTCAGCTTGATGTGTTATCCATGCAAAACAAGCTCAGCCTGGAAATAGTTTATTTATTCATTTGCGACACATCATCTTGAAATGGTGGCACTCACAAGCTGTGGTGAAGACAAACTTAAAAATACAACATAAGAATCAGGAAAAGTATATAATATAGTAACACCTCAATAATAATTATTATTATATTGTGATTATTGCCAAACCTCGTACAGGAACCTTGTTCTTCATTGACTTTCACTATTCTCCTGTATTTGTCAGGAAATTAAAATATTATTATGTGAAAGAAACTTCTTCCCAAATGGCTATGCCTGGTGTTCTGTAAAAGAAAATTTTTAATATATTTTTTATTTCCATATTTCAAATATTTATTCATTAACAATTGAGCCATAACTAAAAAATATAATATAATGGGTTTTTTTCTGAATATGAGCACATTATTTATGAGGAAATTAAAATATTATTTATATGTGATAGAAACTTCTTCCTGAATGGCTATGCCTGATATTCTATAAAAGAAAATGTTTTAATGTATATTTTTTATTTCCAAATTTCAAATATATTTATTCATTATTAATTGAGCCATAGCTAAAAAATATAAGATAATTTTTTTTTTTTTTTTTTTTTGGATATGAGCACATTTATTGATTGAACTTTTAGTAAACTAGCTTTTGAAACTGTCATGTTCAGAGTGATCTAACATTTGCTTTTTTTTTTTCTTCTGCAGATGACCAATCCCGCAATTCAGAATGACTTTAGTTATTATAGGAGGACATTGAACAGAAAGAAGATGGTAAACCAGGTAATAAGAAGCGAGAGAGAATGAACCATTTTCCCCAATGTCTAACATAAACATTAAAAGGCATGATTTATATAACTCGCACTATCTATAATAACCAAATTAGGCAAAAAAAAGTAAGTTGTTTGCCCTTCTTTTTTTTTAAATCATAAAAAGGGGCTGGAGGAAAAAGTTTTTTTGTTTTTCTGCCCCTATATTTTTTAGTAAGTTAGGGGTGGGTGGAGGAGAGCAAACAAACATTTTTTTTTTTTTCTGACCTTATGATGAACCTAAATAATTACAAAAATGGAGTGCTGTATTAGTAAATTATACTTAGGTTTATATCTATCAAACAGTGGCCTTCGTTTAAACCATTTTTTTATACTTTGCATGACTGTATGTAAAGCAACATCTCCACTTTTTAGACAAATTGTCATCGTTTATTGAATAACTGTTGATTGTGTTACTGTATGAATTATAAGGCTGTGACAACATCTCATTTTTATTATGTGCCAAAAATAACAACTACCTGAGTAGTTGGTATAGGAGTAGATTTTACTCCAGTTCCCTTCTTATTTTTGTAACTTTTACAGACTTCAAAACATCCAATCGTTGAGCATACTCAGCCAGTGGTGTATTTAGTCTTGAAATTGGGGGTGGGGGAGTGGCGCGAAGGTGATTATTAAGTGAAATGGCACTAGCTCGTCGGTGGTGTATTTAGGAGTTTTAAGTGGGGGGGGGGTGCTGATGGGGAACGAATGATGATTAAGTAAAGGGGCACTAGCTCGTGAGTGTGATTTCTTGTGCTTCAATTTTCAATGAGGTGAGGTGGGAGTTACTTTAGTGGGATTGCACCCCCTAGATGCACCACTGTACTCTGTATACTAGGGTCTATATATTTTCTAAATGTAATTCAATTTTGTTAATTGTTATGGTTTCAGGATGATGATGAATCCGAATTAGCAGTTAGTAATGAAATGGCAAATAGAATGTCACTGTTCTATGCCCAGGCAAATCCAATGCTCAACACCCTCAGTACTGTTACAGCTAGATTTGTTGTAGAGGTATGTTTTAAATCAATCTCCTTATTTTCACCTTTAATGTGACAGGTTGCCATAACCATCCTTCAAACTTACTGTAAGGCTTTGTTTTCAATGAATAACAGTATACCAATAATATTATTTACCCCATTTTGTATTCTCAATGAACACAGTAAACTTTTACACAACAAGTATGGGATTGTCTGCTGGTGTACTGGCCAGTCACCACCAGGAGGACCCCATTGGGAATAAGTCTTCAGACTGTGTGGGTTATCCTGGTGGTCGCTCTAAATGAATCCAATCCAATCAAATTTAGTTATAAATGAAGCTTGAGCTGTCACTAGTTGCCACTTCAAATTGCTTTACATTATAATTTTTAACTATGACTATTTATAACCACAGTTAAGTAATAGCAGGTGTGAAAATAATCATTGTTGAAAACGATATTGTTAAATAAAAAAATTAAATTAATTTTTTTTTTTTTTAGTCAAAATCTCTACCAGTCGAGAACACCACAGATTTATTACATACAATGGCAACAGTATGTAAGGTAATGATTGACAATAGGTAAGTTAAATTCCTTGATAGATGATTTTTTTTTAAATTATTGTTTTTCTTACAAAATGAACAAATTGATTGATGATAAATTTAACTGGACTTCTGTTAGAAGATGTTTCTAAGTACGACCACTAGAGAGGTCTTAATTTCATGAAAAAGGACATCAGGAAATGTCAGAACAATTATTTTATTAAGAATTCACAACTAATACTTCTATTATTTAGTTTCTTTTTCATAAAGAAATATAAAATGACTGATAATATCAATAGTGTCATAAATTGCTTTTAGCCCTGCGAGCTTCAGAATTTTTTCAGGAAATAATGGCTCCTTCAGCCTCTATAGAGTCCTCAGAACATGACTATAATTGCATATTTATTGATTACTGATAAGCCTTTTTTGTGTCTGCTTGATCAGCTATAAATAATAATATTCATGACAATAATACATTTTTCTTTAAATAATAATTTAGTTGAATATCAATAATGTTTTTATTGCATTAAAATATAATATATTGATTATGATATATATTTATATTTTGAATAATATGTATTTATACTTGTATAATAAATAATATTTTTATAGGGATTATCAATCAAGGTTTCAGAATGATGATACCTTGTTGTTTTGTCTTCGTGTCATGGTTGGCTCCATTATTCTATTTGATCATGTTCATCCTGTCGGAGCTTTTGACAAACGTGCCCCAATTGATGTAAGTTGTGTTTTTACTTATACTTTCCACTTACAAGCTAAATCTTGAAGCTTTGTAGTGGCTTCAAGTCTTGAGAAAAAACTACTATGATATCAGTTAATCAGTGATACAATCGCTCAATCATTTAATGTCTTAATCAGTCACTACTGTATATCATTTATTCATTTGATCGTTCAATCAATTAATCTGTCAACCGATCACATTAGTCAGTCTATTAATCTATTAAGCGCCTCGAGGTTGTGTCAACGTGAGGCAGTATATATATCCAGAATTATTATTATTATTATTTAAAAAAATACCTAATACTGTAATCAATATTTTTTTTTTTTTTTTTTTTTTTTTTATACACAAACACATGTTTTATTTGAAAAATGCTTGGCTAACAATGCGATAACGAAAAGCTGAATTTCCAGAAAGAACTACACAGTTGCGAAAGTCTATAGTTTGCTGACGAAGCAATCTGTAAATATTATAATGGTAATTTATGTAATTACGGTCCATAATCCATGTTGGGCCCCTTGCATATTATTAAAGCATTTTCGCTCATGTAATCAATAATTTAATAAATTGACAAAACAAAAACAAGTATTCAATTTCCAAATCATTAAGTCAATCCATTACTAAGTCAGCATTCAATCAATATTTAGTCAATCATTTACTAAATCAAACAATCTTTCATTCACTCAATCAATCAATCAATTAAATGATTAATCAATTAATCTTTCAATCACTTAACTATTTAATCAGCCAGTCATTTAATCAAATAATCAATTTTAAAACAACCAACCATTCAATCACCATTCAATCAGTCACATGATAATTCAATCAATCAGTTAGTCACTCAGTCAATCAGTAAACCTTTAGTCACTCAATCCATTTTAGTAGCTTGTGTCTTACCTATACTAGAAAAACTATACAAGAAAAGCACTAGACCAGTATATAGAAAAGTACATAAAAACCAAAGAGTCAACACAAACACAATTTAGGTCATCTGTGGGTCTTAAAGTATGTAGACCTGGCAGGCAGAAGTTACCATACAGAGCCAGATATCTCAATAAAATTATCTAGTTGAAGGGGAGAATTTGAAAGTTTATTATATTCCCAGAATAATTGTTTCCTAATGATCTTATTTCAGATTAGGGGCTGCATAAAAGTACTAAAGGATCAACCTGCTACTAAAGTAGAAGGCTTACTTAATGCATTAAGGTATGTACTACAGTAAACCAAGGCAATTCAACTAAAGGACGCACATCTCGGCACATCAAAGATTATAACTGTTGATGCCATAGTAAAGATCAAAGGACTGTACGCACGCGCTATGTGCACTACCAACCAGCTACTTACTTTTAAAATTTTATTTCATTCTTATTCAATAGCAAGTAATGGGCTTTACAGTACTTCATGAGGTATACCCCATTCTGACTAGCATCGCATTGCGATCGATTGTAGCAATTGCGACACCTAATCGCACCCAATCGCAAAGTAAAATCGTGTGTGAAAGCTCACCTATAGTAGTCGATATGTAATCGATATCGAAATTGTTACCCGTTGCGATTGGGTGCTACAATCTTTATTTCTCCTGATTACCACAGAATCTGATCGCAACGAATCACAACGAATTCCACAGGAACTGTTTGACTGAGGTCAGGCAACATAGGCCTAGACACCGGAGGCCTAGGCCCTAGAATGTAAAGTTTGTTTGTATTGATCTGAATGCGTTCGTTGATTGCGATCGGGAGTAATCAGTTTTGGATTACTACCAATTACATCGCAACTGATCGCAAGAGAGTGTAGTCTGAATAGGGTATTAGATAATAAAGGACGAGGGGAATAAAACATCATGCTTTTAGGTTTAGCTTTTCAGTAAGTTGTTAAAAAACAGATGTGATTGTTAGTGACACAGTAGGCATCAGCAAGTTAAAATGAAAATATGGTGAATATTCGAAAGCAGGAGAAACAAAGGTAATGATTACATGAACAGACAAAATTAAACTACACAGATCTTAGAAAAAGATAATTGTAATTAAGATATAATATATGTTGAATTGTTTTGCTGAAAACCACATCAGAATATACAAAGCACTATTAGGCAATACTTATGAAATTGCAGAACAGGTAGGTGTTGGTAATTCTAGGATATACCATTCCGTGTTTTAGTAGATCCTGCTGATTCCTTTAACCAATTCAACAACAATACACTCCAGAGGCTCTGAACAGCAAAAAGAAAAGTCATTATTGAGAAGCTGTACAGGTGACCAAAGGGGTCCCAAGTTGGAAGAAGTCACTTCTTCCAGGAGATCTGGTTAAATGAGCTTCCTTAACATTTTTATTTTGCTGTGCATAGTGATAACCATCGGCACTGACTTCCGTGAAACAATTGATAATAAAGCAGTGAAAACATGCAAATGTTATGAATTTGCAGGAGATGGGTTATTTTCTGGGAGATTCTTGCTTGCTTGCGGGAGTGTGGGAGACCTTCCCGATTTCTGGCAGACTCCTACGAGTTGTGAGAGACTTGGGATCCCTGTGACCATCAGTTTTGCTTCTGTCTGTTTGTGGCCAGATGTCTGATGCCTTCCAGTGTCAGTTCTTCTAGTATCTAGTAGTATCTTTTAGAGACAAATGGAATAAGTACTCACTGGTTCATTGTAAATGACCCAGAAGCTTTTTCTGGCAGTCAGTGTTTGTGGACACTAAAAGAATGATAATAGCTGATGGGTACATTAAATGTCTTTTTTTTTATTCTATTAGGTACACAACAAAACATCTGAATGACCCTACCACACCAGAGAGAATCAAGACAATGCTGGAATGTTAGCAAATTTGAAATGCTTGAATATCAGAATGAAGCTGTCACTGGCATTTAGATACTGTACCATGGTGCAGAAACCCAACCTGAACAGTGCGTGTATGAGGAAAATGGTGCCAGAAACGAAGAGAGTATCAATCGTCTGCTTTCTATTTTGGACTGAACTGAAGAAAGACTAAGTATAATAGTTATGTGTAAACCCTATCCAAGTTCTCACCACCCCCTTGCCCAGTGGCTTATCTATTGAGGCAATAAAGAATAGTACCAGGCAGACTTCAGTAAACAAAATTGTCCATGTGTAAACAAACAAAATGAGGAATGCTACATACTGTACTAAAAATATCAGGAAAAAATATTATTCCCATGAAGATGGAAGGGATCGGATGAGGTATTTCTAGATATTTTATATGAATTTTGTTTATAAAAAAAGAAATTGGTCAAAAATGTTGTAATCAAATTTGTGTAGATTTAATTGCATTGTCAGATTGTGTGATTTTGGTAATACATTCCTTAAATCAAAATATCAATTTGTAGTCATTATAGACTATTTTGGGGTTTTTTTTTTTGTTCGGATATGAGTGTGAATAGACATTTTTATTAGAATTAGGCATATGCTTTGAGTGTGAATATAGTTTTTTGTGTCTACTGCTGCCGCAAGGGCTTTAGTCACTTAGTTATCGTCTCACATGTAAGTTGTGAGAGTAAATCCGGTTTGAGATTTCAAAGTTCAAAGAGAGGAATTATGGGATACCATTACATCATAATAAGGTGAATTATATCGAGGAGTAGATACATGCTTCCACTGGGATCTAATTTTGAAACTTTGCTTCTGAGTAGATACAGTTATTATACTGAAGTTTGACTAAACTTTATGTTTGTAGTAATATGAATTAACAAATTGTTGGTAATGAACTTTGCACCAACATTACATACACACTGTATAGCAGTATGAATAGAATATACACTCAGATTTCACAAACGTTTACCTATTGCCCTGTAGTTTATAGGCTATTATATACCTTTTACAAATATTCTAGGCATCTGATTGGTTGAGAAGCAGGCAATAGAAAATATTATTCCCCTGAAAAGTAGTACTTTTTCAACCTGTTGCATGGTACAAACTCTAGGCCCCACCATCGCGCTGACAGTAGAGGGCACTGCAACCTCTACAACGAAAGAGACTTGCCCTTGACTGTGCCACGGACCAGCGAGTAGATGATAACCAATAATTATGGAGGCAAAAACACCAAAAGACAAATTAAATATGTTTGGTCAATAGTTGACACATATTGCAAGATGATGGGTTGAAATTGAGGAAATGAGCCAAGAAGAGCTAGACACACTCTTTGATCGCCTAGTTAGTAGGCCTCAAGGCTAGGCTAGGAAGTACACTGTAAGTACTTTGTTACTCCTCGTAGAATCTATGTATGAGGTATATAAAACAAATATTGACTTCTCTAGATTCGGAGAACGGTGAAATCTATTGCCTCGCTGTGATGTGAGCCTGTAGCCTTCGGCCCTCGGGAAGATAGGCTACGATCTCTACACCACCTCAGGGCAATAGATTTCACCATCCACCTCAGGAGCAGTCAATATTTGTATACTATTTTTAAGTGGAAAAATATAGGCTTAAAATTACAGTGGAACCAATAAACCACTTTTGTATTGTTTTTTTTACAAAAATTATATTTAATTGCCATCCAGCAGTCAGTCACTCACCATGTAAAGGATCAAATGTCCTAAAACCTGTGATTTCTCCATATATGGTTATGATACCGTATCATGCCCATATATGAATGTGATATGAAATCGTTATGAAATATTGTGACTTGTGGTTTATTAGCACAAACACCAAGTACTAAATGGAAAATATACACGGAATAGGCAGCCTTTCTGGGATTATTTAAGAACTCTTACTTGACAACCACATAGAGTATTGTACATTAATCCATTTTATAAATTTTTGAACTAATCTAATCATCCAGATGTTTATTTCTGATTCATTGTTTAAAGCATGATTAGAAACCAGTAAAAACTGAATGTTTTGGATGTTATGTAAAATGAACTGCTTTTGTAACACATGTTTACTACTGAATGAATATTGGTTCATAGGTTTTAAATATTGTCTTCACAAAATCACAAAAATTAAACAATCATGGCCACCATGTGCCTTGAGGCCATAACTTGGCGATATTTAGCTATTATAGGTGAAGCAGTTTAATGATATGTAAGTGATATTTCAATTACATATTATTAGTGCAGCATTATTCAGTTCATTATCTGTTTTATATTACAATTTCAAGAGCATGGTTTGTATGCAATACTTCACCCTATTATAAGGAAATATTGAATTATTTAATTAAAGGTGTATGACTTGTTATAGACAAATAGTATTAAATGTATAAAAAAGAAAATAATATAGAAACAACACTTTTTTGATACACCAGGTGTTGTTAATTACCACTGCACTCTAAACAATATCTAAACATAATGTATAAGAAATACTGATGTGTGTATTTGTTACTTGGACTTGAAGTATTTTACAAATAATTTTAGTGGCATCATCATAATCATCATCATATTCATTGTCATCATCATCATCATCATCTTCATCATCATTATTAATATTATTATTTTTATAATCATTATGATTCAGATTGTTATTAATAATAATAGTATTAATTTCTTTCATTCCCAAGTCTTTTAAAGCTGTAGGTTTTTTTGTTTAGTGCCTACCAACAGTTGTTAATAGACTGTTATTGTGTGCCATAGTCAATGTGCTTTTTTACACTCTAGACATAAGATGTATGATAGAGTACAATTTGTCTTCTAGATATCCTGCGCAATATAAATTCACTGGATTGATTTTAAGCGCTTTTTTTTTTGTCTTTTATTGCAGAATATCATTCGATACTAAATTTCTCTTCCTCCATTTGCCTTTCCAATAAAACGTGTGTGGTTGTCATTCCAATAATGCTTATAATAAATTGCCTTTACCATGAAAAGAATTTATAAAATGTAGTCCTTTCTTTTTAAGGCTGCCTAGGAATAATGTGCCACATTACCATTCTGTGTTTTTTTAAATGATAATTCATGAGTTATTTAATACAGGAACTTACTAGCATGTATGCTACACGCAATGTCAGCGGTGGTGCCAACAGGGTCTCAAGGGGTTTCCCTGGAGCCACTCTCCTCAGTGCACCATGCAAATTTCTATATGTTTTAGGAAACAAATATGCATAATTAAACCCATTTTCTGTTTGCTATGCAGCTGTTTCAAAGAAATTCCAAATGTTTTCAGTATTATGTGAATGTGGAACATTACCAGTGACAATCAGTTTAATTATACTTTAATTTTTAAATTTTTATTGACACCTGCTTTTATAATATTAATCATGGAGTTTTGTAAAAACAATACAGAAATATAATAAATAAGGGTTGTAATTTGGAGGTAAAAAGATAAACATTTCTATTTCAGTTTATTCTCAGATTACAGGCCAGTAGTTGTGATGTATGATGAACAAAATGGATGCTGTAGAGTATCATTGAAAATAATAGATAGTTGTCTAGTAGTAGAACAATATTATGTAGGTCTCTCCTTGGTAATTATGTTCACATTTGAAAAGGAAATAATATAGTTTGCTTCACTGCTTTTGTCTACTTACTAATTGATTGAAGTGTCAGCTTTTATTCAAACTTCAAAAACAAGGGTTTGTGTTTCTACTTAACTGGTTGTACAGATTTATTACAAAGAGATATCTGACTTTATAAACTTTGTAACTACAGTATATGTAGCATAAGTAATAATGATATTTTTTTTTTTTTTTTTTTTTTTTCTGATACTGTATCATACCAGGCCTAATAAAGGAAAACATGTTCTAGTTAAAGATATTTTTATTTTTAAAGATGAGAGATAAGACCATTTTTTTTTACTAAAAGCACCCACTACCGCCACAAAAAGTCATGTTTTTACGTCTGATAGATTGTTATGGCTGTGTTCATTGCAAAATTAGAAAAAAATTGTCCAAAATAGATGATGTAATGAAAAATAATGATTGTATTTTTTTTTATTTGGCCTAAGTAGTAGCATACTTTAACAGTATTCATACATTCCTATTGGGTGTTGTTATCGTCAACTTGAGTATTCCAGTGTAAAGGTCTATTAGTGCTATAATCAATGTCACTGGTAATAAGAAAACAAACCATGGCACCCTCATAAATAATGTATTTTTTTCCAACTGTTTCTGTGTAGGCTACTGTAGTCTACTGTGTACTGTGTCAAATTCAAGTCCCAAATCTTCATTTCTATTTGTTCTATTTCATCTGCTGAGTTTCAAATCTACACAATTTTAGTGATATTTATGAATCATTTTTAATAGGCTTACTTTTAACTATCATTATTATATTTTCTTTACAACAAAAAACAGCATGTGACGCACGGATTAATGGATGATTATATATTATGGGTATGTTTATTGAGAATTGGCATTTAAGATATAAACTAATATTTAATAATTAAAATTAACCTTTGATATATGTGAAAATAATATTTAGAGAATTATGGTAATACATATTGTGGAATTCAGATCACCATTGTTGGACTTACGTAATTGCTGAATAATTCAGCGTTCTATTTGAATCATACTGAGCCTCATCCTTGTTTTAACATCTCAAACCCATTATCGATATCTGGTTGAAATGACATCATTTCAGATAAATTGAGATTTGATAATGAAGCGCTTTCTATTTGTAATAGACAGAAAATGCATTATTTGCATAAACTTAGGATGCTAAATGCGACTGACGCTCCTCAGGTGTTAAATTGGCTTTCTTTAGGGGGAATTGCGATTTTGATTGTATTGTAAATATTTTTCAATTATATGAAATTCATGTTCAAAGTATGTGTAAATTCGTCACTTAATTTATATTCGTTTTACTGCAACATTGTAATATATGCTTATAGTTATAATGTAACCTATACTATCAATTATCGATGTATTATTATGAACGAACTCGTTGGTATTTTATATCAGTTGGATCAGTTAAAAACTGATATACATTGCAATGTATACCGTTACTATAAAGCTTTTGAAACATTTTTATTATCTTTGCGTTTATTCGTGTTGGCATTGTTATAATAAGAATCGTAGAGTACTAACTTCAATACTTTGAGCCTCTTCAACGCTGATCTAATGACACTTGTTTCACTAATTAGAATATTAAAAGTGCATAATTGAATTTCAGAGCATTTGGTAAAGTTTTGCTTGAAACGATGTGCGATGTTAATTTATTACTCTTTATTTCCTCCTATTGTACACCTATTCTTATAAAATTTGATGGTGTTTACTTTTCTGAGTTTTGGTTCAAACAACCATTTTTCTTTCTTTCTAATTATTGTGTTTCAGGCATTAAAATTTATAATGCAAATGCTGGTGTTGTATTATTATAATAACAAATTTTTGTTAAAAGGTTTGGAATTCACAGTTAAAAACATGTATTGAAGCAGCATTTCAGCTGTTTTACAATAAGATAAAAAAAGGTGTTAAAGATAACATTTCTAATGAATTAAATGTATCTTCTTTCAATGCATTTATCTCTTGATTGCCATGTCTTCCAGTACAAGGTATTGTACTGTGCATTCTTTATATGCATTGTCTTTGTTTATGACTCTGTAGTCCTACAACCAATGTTTACAACAGGTGCATCATTTTTGTTGGTAAATGTTCATTTTTTTTTTTGTAAACTTTACATGAAGTACTTAATTCTATGTTCCCTTTATTTAACTGGTTGTTTTTTTTAAGATTTTTTTTTATCGAGTGATAACTTCCACTTGGATGAATAGTGAATTCTTAGCTCAGAATAAGAAAAGTGTGTGTGAGAATATATTTCATCGACATTTTAATTTGTTATACTGTATTAACATTTTCGTCATGTTAGAACCTGAATAGGTCTACTACAGTAGAACGAATACAAGTTGGTCAAGACGGAATCGTGGCATTTTTCGTATATGAATAGTTAAAAAGTGATGTTTCCGTAATACTCTTAGTGAAGTCATTAAGAATGACGTTGATATAATTATGACTTATGCAGGTCTTATTTCCAACACGAATCCAATAGTATGCTTAATTGGAAAATGTATCGGTTGGTTGTAGTTATTACTTAGTAATGAAAAATAATAATTTCATAGCCTATGATGATTATGTACCCTAGTCATTAGCAATTCCAATGAACTTGTTGGTGGGATACTCAATAAATATTGATCGTTCCTAGACAGTACATCTTGTTTTTGTATCTTACCCTTTGTTTGGCCTGATATGGTTGTATGTACAATTCAATACTGGTATAATGAATGTTTATTATGAGTGCAATGGAACAGTCAATCTTTCATCGAATGAAATTATTTTCCATTGTACGAAACACAAAATATTCATTGTTTTATAGCACACCTAAAGTAGGTCCTTTTCATTTGATATTATATTTTAAAATGTTAGGTTTACCTTTCTTCTGGATGAAACAGTCCATCTTCTTTCAACATGGCAGGGGGGTGTGTAGTGATGGGAAAAAATAAAGTTATAATTGTAGTACAGATAGTTGTATAGGCCTAATACCGTAAAACCTCGAATAGAAGCCCAATTGGCTTACTTTCGAAAAGAAGCCCATCTCGGAAAAATAGCCCCACCCTTTATTTCGCAAAAGTAATCTCGGAAAAGAAGCCCATCTCGAAAAGAACCCCATAGGCTAAGTTAGATATGCGCTTCTGTTCAAGATAGTACTTGCATTTAGACTGTAAGAATGTTGTTATATTAAAAAAAAAGTATGGTTTTAAAGTAGCAATTCCAAATACTTACAGCATAAACTTTAAAATAAACCCCCTCTTTAGTTTGCAAAATTAATCTCCAAAAGAAGCCCATCTTGAAAAGAAGGGCCCATCTCGAAAATAAGCCCATTCAAAACTAGGGTCCTCAAAAAGAATTCCAGGCTTCTATTAGATGTTTTACATCCTCTCTATGGACAAAACGAATTGAACACAAAAACATGCCAAAATACAGTACAGTTATAGTGTAAATACCAAGTGTCACGTGATACGAAATCCATTTATCAAATGCGTTATAATCATGCTATCGACTTGGAAATCTGAAACCTTTTTGTTTTATATAAGAACACGTTTTATAAGAACACTGAGGCTGAAATTGCCTAAAAATTCAGCAAAATAAGAACAAATTGGTGCCGAGGTAAAATGTCAAATAAGGTTTTTATATGAATGAATGAATGCGCTGCTATCCACAGCATTTATTGGGTCTAATATAAAGTATATCAGAAAATTGTCTTTAGTACACTACAATTAATATAAAAAACATATAGAATATCAAAACATCAAAGAACATCAAAACGGACAATATCAAAAAACATGCAAAATAGAAAAATATCGAATTCAATATACAATGTACAAAAGGGAAAATTTAAAATTCAGAATATCAAAAAGAGTTAATTAGAAAGATAAATATAATTATTACAAAAAAATTACATTAAAAAGTCTATATTTTGTTTAAATAGAAAAACTAACAATTCTTATCGGTACCTTATGTGATTATGTAATACCCTCTCTAATACAATACAATAATACACTGCTATACAATAACAATTTTTTTATGTTTGAAAAGTGTGTAAAATTAAGAACAAAATAAGAACACTTTGAGCCTGAAATCGGCAAAAAACTAACAACACCGATCCTGAGCAAAATGTTACTGGTTCTTATAAAAAAAAAATTAATAAATGAATAAAAAGAAAATAAGAAAAGCAATGCGATAGTAGCTATTTTAATCGTTCTCAAATACCCAGAAGAAAAATCCTGTGAAAAGAAAAAGTTGAGATTGCTTATAGAACTTCTTACACTCATTCAATGAATTCTTTTTTTTTTTGTACCGATTTTACTGAGGCAACACAGCTTTTGTTTTTGTTGGTATAATTGGCATATATTCTTAGTTCATGTTGATAAACGACGTGTACGTGACTAAAAGTTCAAAGAAAATTATATAATAAAGATTTTTTTAATGAAACGAAGGAGTAACTGCTCCTTGGAATTGTACGTTAGTAGTTAATGGTGCACTAAAAGCGCCGTCAACAATCGTCAACAAGACTGCCAACAACCGTCAACACGCCTTGTTTACGGTTGTTGACGCTAAGTAGCCTGCACTAATTACCGTCAACAAACGTCGACATACTAATTACCGTCAACAACTTTTTTTTTATTCCGCCTTTTTTCAAAATTGTGTAGAAGTGTTTGGATGCCTCTTTCTTGCTTATGCATACAGGCGTAGGCCTATGATTATTACTAGTAGGCCTACGAGGTAAATTGAAGCACAGCTTTTTATAATGAATATTCTGAAAACTTAATGTGGAAATAATGTTAATTGGATTGGATTGGATTTATTCGGTGTAAACACCAAGGATATCCCACGAAATTCTAAAAGAAGACTTAATTTCAGTGGGGTCCTGGTGGTGATTGGGCAGTACACCGGGAGACAATCCCCTACTCTTTTTCGAAGAGTGTACTGCGTTCTTTAACATGCACATGGGGCATAAATGCACGCGGGACCAACGGTTTTACGTCTCATCCGAAAGATGGTGCACTATTGTAACTTCAACCCCCCCCCCCAGCTGAAACACAGGAGAGGCAGCGATGGGAATTGAACGGGGTAATACTTAAAATCAATTAAATAACTTTCCAATCCCCACCCCTTCCACGTTTAACAACGGATGAGCGTAAAATTGTGGAAAGTAAAAGATGACAAACTGGTTTGATAAATACAGTAATAATTTTAATGGATTATTCGACTGTATAGAGCAGCTAATCCAGTAAACAAATCGTGGTACCGCCGTTAAAAATCTGAACCCAAGCAAGGCTTCAGGCCCAGACAACATTAGCCCAAGAGTTCTCAAGGAATTGAGTGATGTCCTTGCCAATCCTCTTACCATAATATTTAGGAAGTCACTTTGTGAGGGCAGTGTACCACAGGACTGGAAAAAAGCAAACATCACTCCAATTTTTAAAAAAGGTCAAAAATACAATCCTGCAAACTACCGTCCAATCAGTCTTACCTGCATAGCTTCTAAAATCATGGAGCATATTATCTACAGTAACATAATGACCCATGCTAGCCGTCACAATATCCTCTACAGTCTCCAGCACGGTTTCCGCAGTAAAAGATCCTGTGAAACTCAGCTTCTGGAATTCATACATGACATTGTTACCAACATGCAAGATGGGTACCAATCGGATGTATGCCTATTAGATTTTTCAAAAGCCTTTGACAAGGTCGGCCATCTTAGACTTGTTGAAAAGCTTCGTTGGTATGGAATCAATGGTCAAACTAACAATTGGATTAAAAACTTCCTCAGTGGCAGGACCCAATCAGTAGTGATTGAAGGCGTTTCCTCCAACAGCGTTCCGGTTACATCTGGTGTACCACAAGGCTCTGTCTTGGGACCATGTCTCTTCCTTTTCTTCATTAATGACATAGCAGAAAATCTAACATCCTGTACACGTTTATTTGCTGATGATACCTTAATTTACATGACGGTAAGCAGCGAAGGGGATGCCAAGCTGATGCAGAAAGATCTAGATACCTTATCACTGTGGGAGAAAAACTGGATGATGGAGTTCCACCCAGAAAAATGCCAAGTTATTAGTATCACAAGAAAGAAAAATATCACATATTATCCATATACACTCCACGGTCATCAACCTGTCTCTTATACACATCTAGATGTGTATAAGAGACAGGTACATAGGAATAACAATTACCAAAGATCTCAGATGGACCAAGCACATCTACATCACCACAGTCAAAGCAAACAATACACTAAATTTCCTCAGACGTAACATAAATATTAATAACCAAAAAGTAAAAGAACAAGCTTACAAGTCACTTGTCCGACCAATTTTGGAATACGGAAGTGTTGTTTGGGATCCCCACACAGACGTTCTGAAAAGAAAAATAGAAAAGATTCAACGCCGTGCTGCTAGGTTCACCCTTAACAGATATGAACGTACAGCTAGTGTCAATGCCATGATCCAAGAACTATCATGGGAAACTCTGGCTGAAAGGCGCCAACTTGCAAGATTAGCAATGTTCTATAAAATCCACAATAATCTTGTTGCAATTGATATGAGCAAATACTTAATCTCAAAAAATTATACAGCTCCATCTCGCACAGAAAACAGTCAGGCATATAGTATTGCTCACTCAAGTCGGGACTATCACAAGATGTCATTCTTTCCTCGGACATCAAGGGAATGGAACATAATTGCAGAATCTACTGTCAAAGCACCAACTACTGACGTTTTTAAGGGGGCCCTTGGCAAAAATTAATCTCACTCGCACCACCACACACCACCAAAGTGCTATAGCCTTCAAAACTGAAGTTTGCACTAATCTGGAAGAAGAAGAAGAAGTAAATGAATGAGCACCGTCGTGCTGCCAAAAATTTCGTTTATAATACCATACTATGTCATGATGATGATGATAATAATAATAATAATATAGGTTTTAATATGATGCCCTATGTAATCTCTCAGAGCACTATTAGGCCTACACGCAAAAATGAACAAACAATAACAAAGAAAAGACGAATTAAATATTAAGATGCCTTTTTTTTTGGCGGTCCTTAAACATATAGCCAAGGACGTTGCTTCCTTAATAAATATTGGGAGCATGGTTCTACAATGGTATACTGGCAGAAGAAGATGGAAAGCCATATTTTGTTTTAGACTTTATTGGTGTAAGAAGCATGCTAGAAGAGTATCTTATTATTATTATTATTATTATTAGATATGAAATTCCTTTTAGATAAAACCTAAAAGATACATAATTGAAAACCGATGATTTTTTTCAATTATTATTATTATTACTACTACTACTACTATTATTGTTATTACAATTATTACTACTATTATTATTATTAATATGATTTTTACCATTAATAGTTTTATTATCTTCATTATAAATATTATTATTAATCTATTTTCCTATGTAGGCCCTTTTATCAGATATGTTGACGGTTGTTTACGCTAATTGTATGACGATTGTTAACTTTAATTAGTATTACTGTACACCCATACTAACCGTCAACAACGCATGTTGATGTTAATTACGTATTACTATAGGCCTACACAAAACACTAAATACCGTCAACAGCGCTTGTTGATTGGTAATTAATTGGTAGGCCTATACTGTACTGTACATACACAATGAATACCGTCAACAAGCGTTGTGTTGTGGTTGTTAAGATGTGCGTCCTTCTGTTGAATTACCTTGGTTAATCTGATCATTTACATTATCTGCATCTTCTACAGTATACCTTACTTGAACAAATTAAAAAAAAAAAACATTGGTCAAAGAAAAAAAAATTCCTTTCATTCTTGCAAAGCAGCTCCTAAATTTGCAAGTCTGTCGGCTTCTTCATTTCCTTGAATGCCCTTATGGCCAGGAACATGTGTCTGTAAATAGATTTAGAAATGATATATTATAGATAGCAGTTATACATAATGAATTATGCATGCATAATGAATAATGATTGTGCATGCAGCGTAGTAGTAACAACTTGAGATACTATGTTCAATAGAACATGAACCCAGTCATTTTTTAAGAGATAACCACTTGACCTTCAATTTAACCTCAACCTGTGAACACCCCATGTTCTGATGCAACTGGTCCAATCGTTAGTCACTAGCAATATTTGATAATTTTCACTATAGTAACCCTTGTGAGTTTTTACCTAAAGATGAAGAGTAGTTTTTCATATTTAGAAGGCCCTAATGATCATTCCTGGTAAATTCGAGCTCAGTTGGGCTATTTTGAAAATTTGACCCCTATGTAACCACTGATGACAGACAGGGGTGTAGGAGGTGTCACTGGTTCTTAATGATCAACTTTGATTGAATTTGGTTTATTCGTTTGCCATTAGTAACATTTTGAACCTTTGACCTATGAACT